AATGACTGAGTCGTTGGTCTTACAAAATTCTGTCATATGATGCCCAAAGGAGCTTCTATCACCAATGCTCTATTTTCCACCTACCAATCCTTCTTCTTTATTTCCAACTATCCCATCCCAGTCACCAGTAATTACCAAGGCATCGTGATCGCATGTATGATCAATTTCAGACTGCAGAAGCTGGTTTAAAAAACACCTTCAATTTCTCACTGGGAGGGCCACAAGCAACGTCATAACACTTCGTTCACAAAGATAACATTCTACGTCCTACTTTGGTGAGTAGTGAAGGGGTTCTTAAAAGCGCATGAGTGGCCATCGAAGGTATAACTCTCCCTGCCCAGAGAACAGAAGAGTGAAGACAATTAATGCTGCGCTAATGGAGAAGGAGAACAACTGCTTCTATGACCCTGAAACCTGGAGAATTAGAGGGGACCTGGCTACCGTCAGCACCTGCTCTGAAAAAGGCGCTCAGCAGAAGGTCCCGAATGGAGCGAGAGAAAACTGTGAACAAAACTCACAATCATAAACAATAAAGAAGACCAGGCTTACTGGTCATATAGAGACTGGGACACACACTGAGAATATGGCTCTCAGTCACCATTCAGGTCTGGAATAAACGAGTCTCCATGGTTCAAGGTTCAGCCAAACAACAGATGGCCCCTGAGAGAAACAATGACACTAGGGAACTGTGCACACCTTAGAATCATCCACCGTCTGAGATCAAACGGGCAGCACTTCCCTGGAGACCAACTTCAGAAGGGTTAGAAGAGGAAGAGGAGTGGAAACGGGGGCACCCAGGGAGGAAGTGAGATCAATGATGTTACATTGTGGGGACAACCATTAAAATCATGAAATACAATGTGTATGAACTACTGGATAGAAAACTGGTTTGTTCTGTAAAGCGCACTCAATTCACAATACAAAGTTTAATGAAATAAACCCTATTTACTGACCCCACAGTCTGCTGGAAGTGTGCTGCTTACAGAGCGGGACCCTATTCTCCACCGCCCCTTAAGTACGGCTTCCACCAGGTGAGCGATATGCTTACCTAGTCAGCTGCGCTGCTCGTGTACTAGTGCTTGTCACTATCATCGTGTTACCTAATTAAATATTAGCCAAGAAGAACCTAGGAAGACAAGGAACCCTTCCATGTCTTCATCCTCGGCCTTAGGGTCAGTGTGTAAATCTGAGTAACAGTGAGCTCACTGTTCCTCCTTGTAGGGCATGGGCATCATGCTGTCCTGGACACTGTTGGGATGCAGGATAGATTTGAATGATCTCTTTAGACAACGAATGTGATGCCAATCCTCTACAATCTGTCATTCCCAGCCAAGTAGACCATATGACCAGCCTGTCATTTTAGCCCACTCACATCTAGAATATCAACCTGTAGCTGTTCCATGTAAGTTTCGACAGCTTACAATGTCCCTAGATTCATACTTTGCACACTCCACTTTGCATTGAAGAATGGATCTTCCCGGTCAATCCTGTTCCTGTGGAGTTGTGCCACGTGAGCCAATGGAGGTCCTGACAGCTCTACACTGAGGAGGCAGCTCTTCCCCACCTGTATTTTGAGAGCTTTCCTTCAGGAAGGGCTCATCTTCCACCACTACCCCAGACAATACTCCGCTGCCATTCCTATGGTTTTCACTGGGAAATGTTTGAGAAATAGATCACCAGGTCCTCCCTGCTAGTCCATCTTAGTCTGGAAGCTCTGCAGAAACCTCCCTGAGCCTGTTGGTATTGGGAAACCAGTGGCATTGCCTCCAATATCAAAGCAACTCACAACAGAACAGCAAACTAAAATGTAGACTTAAGAGCTAAGTGATGGTTTCGTTTGACACTTCCCTGTAAACTATACTATATATTGGACTAACTATATTTGAAATGTACTTTGCATACCTACTCCTCCGTTGCTGTACAAAAATGTATGCCTGTGTGTAGACGATTAATAGATAATGCTTCTTATGTCTATATATTAATTAATGCCCAAGGTTATAAACCTAAACCTGCCTGCTCTGCTTTACGGGAGATCTAAGGGATTTTCATCTTATGCAGAGCTTATAGACACTAATTCCTCCACTTAGAGGCAATGCTATTACCTTGAGTCCCGAGAGGCTTCCCTGTTCCTGGTTAAATATTTCTAGTTGCAAAGAGACCCTCCTTCCCTGGGCCCCAGGGACCCAAAGACAGGCCTCTTCAATTCAATCCAATAGGCACTTACTGAGTGATTTCCGTGAACCTAACACTGAGCTAGGAATCTCTGCGGATTCAAGAGACATTAAGATACAATCTCAACCCTCATGAAGTTTACCATCTACTTGAAGTCCTTTGATAGCAATACAGTGGCCCGTGACCAGCTCCTCGGTCTCTGGCTCAGCCTGAAGTCAGTGCTGAGTCTCCCTTGGAGCGAGGAGACCCATGAAAGAAGTGGCTCCTCAAGCTCTCTCAGAACCATGTGGCGGCGCAGCTGAAGGCAGGCAGCAGCTCTGTGCTAGAATGGACTTCTGGGGGCGCAGAAGACACTCCTGGGAGGAGCGGAAGCACCCGGATGCAAGTTTCTCAGAAAGCATTGTGGAGCTGGGCAGGGGTCCTGGCCCTTGTGTGTGGCTGGGGTGCGAAGGGCCGGGCACGGACAAGGAATACCTCGGTTTCAGACCATCACAGACCATGGAGTCGGTGTCCCCCCACGAGTTGCCCTGAGTAGCCCTGCCCGGAGGCCCCTCTCAGGACAGCACGTGCTTGGGGTCCTCTAGAAGTAGTCCCCTCTGCGTATACAGAAGACCATGGTCGTCTGTGTACTCTCAACTCTGCTGGCCACCCCAAGTGCCACACTTGTGCGAGCCCGCACCACATGCCCTCCAGAGCTAATTATAGGTCAGTGAGCCAGCAGGCCAAAGGGGGGACAGATGG